AGCTGCTTGATTTTTCCCTGCAATGGCTCAACAAACTCGGATTGCTTGCGTCCGGGGTGAATCATTGTGATACTGAGCTGGGCTGATTTTGCCATTTGCTGTGTGTGTGTGTGTGTGTGACCCAGTTCGAGTCATTGTGATGCTTGCTTGAGCTAAGTAAGCTCCACATAGCTGGATCGCTACAGTTTGAATTGCCAACGACAGGCACAGCCAGATTTCGACGCTGAGTTGGCTGTCTGAGTGCTGTGGTGCATGTGTGACAGGCGCGCGCCGGTTGAGCTCGCCGGGCGCTACTGGATGGGTCCGTCCAGCTGCAGATTGCTATGGCAGGCCATGAGCCTCGTGTGTGTGGCTGAAACAATCAGTCTTCGCAGCGCAGTAGCAGCTGTGAGCAATTATGCGCTATGGTCCGAAGATTACAACATCGAGCTGTTGACCAAAGCCAACTGTAATTTCTGCGTTGAACTAACTGTGATTGCCTAACGGTCCTTGGGCGCCTTGAGTGGGGGGCCGCTCGCGGATCCCAGATTCACAAGTGTCTTGCAATGTCATATTTGCACACGAGCTGGGCTGTGCCCGAACATCTCCTGCCATTCCAATTTTGTGGTTGTGCTGTCGGATTGCTTCCGCGTGGACAAAACTGAGATCTCCTGTGCCTAGTTGTTTCAGAATCATGTGAAGATGTGCTGGCCTTCTGCCAAATAGAGCCAACAAAGCTGCGGTGTTTGCAGCCGGGCCTCCCCACCAATGGCTTTTCAAACGGGGGAAGTTGCTGAGCCCTGGGCGGAGGAGGCGAGTGCCAGCGAGTCGCTGTGCCAGGTCAAGCTGAGCCAAGTGTTCACCATTCACATCTCCAGGTCCAGCTGAGCCAAGTGTTCACCATTCAAATCTCCAGGTCCCGGTCGGGTCGGGTTGTGTAAGGCTCGGCCAAGGTGCTGAAACTGGTCGGGCTGTGCAAGGTCATGCTCGGCCAACGTGCAACAAAAAAAAAGAAGTCCCAGTCAGGCTTTGAAGGGCTGCGCGAGGTCATGCTCGGCCAAGGTGCTAAAAATGCTCAGCCAAGGTGCTAAAACGTCCTGGTCGGGCTGCAAAGGGTTGTGTAAGTGTAAGGTCATGCTCGCCAAAGTGCTGAAACGGGTCGGGCTGTGCAAGGTCATGCTCGGCCAAGGTGCTAAAAAGCCCCAGTCAGGCTTTGAAGGGCTGCTCGAGGCATGCTCGGCCAAGGCGCTAAAAATGCTCAGCCAAGGTTCTAAAAGGTCCTGGTCGTGCTGCAAAGGGCTGTGCAAGGTCATGCTCGGCCAAGGTGGTTAAGTGTTCGTTCCATGTCAGGTGAGGCAAAGGTTGAGTATCGTGCCTGGTGACGTAAGGGCTTCATCTTTGTTCATCATCCATTTTGCGTGCCAACACTTGCGCAACGTGCTGCCTAGCCACCTTGCCATCATTTCCAGCCAAGGAGTTCGCCGCTACTCATTCCAGGCAGCTCATGTATGCAAATCCGTGCAGTGTGGCATCAAGCCTTGCCATCAGTTCCAGCCAAGGTGTTCGCCAGTGCTCATTCCAGGCAGCTCATGTATGCGAACCCGTGCAGTGTGGCATCAATTCTAGTGCAAGGTGCTCCCGGCCAAGGGGTCCTTTCAAGCCATGTGGCCATGCTTAGTGTCGCATGGTTCGCCAGTGCCTATGCTAGGCCATGCGTCGACCGCTGTCCCCGTTTCTTCATTGAGTCAGGTACGCCTTTTCTTATATGCCATTCGATGCCGCTGAGCGCGCGTGCTTGCGAGCAGCAGGTTCTTCGGTGCCGTGTGCTAGTGTGTGAGTCTGGCCAAATGGTGCTGTGCAATTCGCCGGTGTGGTGAAGGCTGTGCGCTGGTTGAGTGAAACAATGATGCAAGACACGCCTATCCCGGTGCTGGGCTACTTTAGCAAGGGTGAGAGTGGTAGGGGGCCGTGGGTCTTGGACGTACCACTCCGCTTTGTTTTGCCTTTGTGCCTGGACCGGGTTTTGAGTGCCCTGTACTGCGTATTCTGCGCGCCGCATCGCAGCAGTTTGTGGGTGGCTTCACGTTGCCCTGCCAGGCCTTCTCAGGGCCTATGCCAACAGAGTCTTCTGTTTGTGCCCGGTCGTGTGATGTTGGGTCATGCGTGAAACCCTGCATGTGCCATTGCAAGCGTTGCTCCGTACCTCCTCCATCTTGCCAGTGGAGCGGCGTGCTCTCACATCCCTGATCTTATAAGCCTGCAGCGTGAAGGCAAAACATGGCTCTCCGAGGTCGGAGATCAAGTGATCTGCGGAATCGATGCATTTGCCGTGGCCATCAGATTGTTTGGGCTTGGGGGATTCATAAGGGGCCGCTCCTTGCTGGTTTTGTTTTTCATCGATACAGGCCCATGCCGTTGGGTTGTGTGAGGCGGTACTTTCCGTCGTGCGCGGTACTTGTGTTAACTCAAGACTGTATCCTTGGATGATTTGTTTGCGTATCCGGATGAGCCGTGCTACTCTCCAACGTTGGCACGGGCCTTCCCGGCGGTTTGAGAGAGACATGATGAGCTCATGAGGAGTTGCAGCCACAGCTCACTTGAGTCGGGGGAATATGGAGTGTTCGTGTTGGCTGCCTTCGCCAACGGGCTGATCTCGCCCAGGCACTACCTGCCATCCTTAAGCGTCACGGATGCCCCCGATTGATGTAGGAAAAGAGTGAGTCCCTGTGCGAGTGCTTGCAATTTTGTTCATATGTATTTATGCGATTGCTGAATGATTCCTTCCTTGAATATTCGGATTGGAGTTTTTCATTTCTATCTGATTGAAAAAATTTCTCACTGGTCACCAATATGGTACTTGTGAGTTGATTGCAAAATGGTTTGACAAAAATATATATATATATATTTGAGATTAAGTCGCTGTATTATGTTTGATTGATTTTATTGAGTGGCTGTCGCGAAGATACAGCTATGAAATATTTTGGTTTTGGTTTGTTCGCCCGGTTTTATGAACCTTCTATCCATTGGGGATTCCGAAAACAGCGCATTTAAAGGACAACTTCGAACACTGAATTCCTAAGTACATCACACACAAAGAGGAGCAACCGATAGTAACGATGGAATTTCAAGACTCATGGTTGATGTTCCTCGCGAACGTCTGGAATGTCGGTCGGATGGTGCGGTTGTCGCAGCCATATTCTCAGGACGCCGCACAAGAATTTCAGCATTGACATGGACGCTTTTCGTTGGCACTTCCATGATATGTGATGTCCAACCCCTTTGCACTCAGACCCCCTACTTTCGTGTTCGCATCACCTCGCTGAAGCTTAATCCAAACTCTTCAGGAACAAAGGCAAACATACCGCTAACATTTTTTTAAAAGCATTTTCAAGTTGAAAGATCGCGCGTCTTTTGCTTTGGCATTTATCTCAAGGCGACGCTTGATGTTCCTGTCCATACTGCTAACACCCACACACAGATTTCAGCTTGAGTTCATGTATGATTGACATGCAACGCCCCCCGTGACAAGGTTGGTTTGAGAGAAAAACGTGGAGCAGCGAACCTCCGCAGTCATGTGGGACATGCGTAGCTACAAAAAAATATGAGCATGGCATTGCCCCTGTAGTTAAACAGTTCCAAGCCATGTGTAGTCGGGATGCTTGTTTGTGGCTGTGGACACCTTCAGGTGAGTACACGTTGTTTGAGGTGGGCATGTGTTGGATTTGCATGACAAACTTATTGGAACACCTTCAATGCTGTTCAATCTTCTTGCCCCAATGGGGACATGTTGCAAATACCACAAAGTGTGACATATGGTTGACACGCGGCAATCACACTTGTCGTGCAGGTTGGAGTGACAACAACAGTATGCACCTGCTGAGAAGGGTTTCTTGGTTGCGAAACAATCGTATGCTTGTTAGGGCAAAGATGTGCGCAGCTATCACAGCTGAGGAATGAAAATAGAGCATGGTGGGAAGTCGTTCTTTGTCCGAGCGCTTCCGGCTCTCCCTCCGATATTTGGTTTGGATTTGTGTCCTTGCAGATTGGTCAGCCGATTTGGCCACAAATCACTTGGGCATGCAGTGTCAGAGAGTTTTGGAAGCCGTTCCATGCAAATTCAGGATTGCTCCCGCAACGCCGCCCACCCTTTCGAGCACCGCCACAACGTTTTCAGGCTACCGCCATGCAGGCTTTGCTGCACACATCTAATCCTGTGTGTTCTCAATGGCATGGGAATGGCCAGGAATGGATGCGTCCAGCGCTGCGTCTGATCGTTGGGGTTGCTCTGCTACAAGCTGGACTTCGTTGCCTGCAAGAGGAGAGATGGAGACATCTCAAATGGTGACTGGGCAACAAGCAGGAAAGTGCATTTGCGAAGGGTAAGCGTTAAGAAAATCTGCAAGTGACGTGCCTCCGGTGCCCTGACGGGGCAAAGCTGACTTTCATCATTGATTCGCGGATGTATTTGATGTTGTTTCGTGTCCGAAGAGGAGCTTGCAACTGCAGGTTGAATGTGTTAGCAAGTCATTTTTTTTGGTTTTCGTCGCAGGTGGTACCTGAAAGGCTTTGCTTCAATGAGTCTGGGCACATTGCAGCAGTGCGACGCAATGTGCGTCTGAAAGCCAAGGTTGTGATTCCGTTCGGACGGACCCAGGGCATCTGGGACAAAGCAATGCCCATGTTGCCACCATCACCGTTGCCAAAGAAGCTTTACCATCGTCGACGATATGATATGCCGCTTCTGGACAGCTGGGCTTACCTGTAATGGTAACAACAGTTGCACAATGAGACAGTGGGGGCAAGTCGATTTAATTGTTCTGACTGGCGATTGTGCCCGCTGCTAGATTCTTGCAATCCTTGAGTGAGAGCTGGTAACTTTCTGTGAAGGATCTCAGCAATGTGCCATGGTTTTTGACTGGGGATGATTCGCCAGTGGAGCCTCAAAGCCCCTTGATCTTTGGCTGAAGTTGTCACCAGGGCATTAGCCATCCAGTTGTTCACGAAAGACGTCTGCAGTCAAGGAGTTCTTGTGCTGGCCACACGACAAGTGCTGCTTCGATACCGAGAGCCTGGTTTGAATGAAAGCCTTTATTCCTGCGTTTGAAATTGAGATTCGAAGTTCGATGTTAGAGCAGTCTTCACGGATTTTGTCCAGGCCGGCAGATGATAACGGAATGGTCAAAGTGTGGCAGAGCGCTCGCGCAGGCACACAATTGTTGCCTCTAAGTGACGGACTGTGGTCGCGCTTGTTTTCCATTTGCCATTGTCCCAGCTCTACTAGCATTGCAGGATGGAAGGTATGGCCCTGGATGTGGGCAACGGCGAAGACTGCGAATGCTTGTTGGAGCTATGGCTCAGACTGGCACAACATGTTCTTTTATGTGTTTTTGATGACAGACATACGGATTCGTGCAGTGCGCAGAAGAATTCAAGCAGGAGCAGCGAACTGCGATGAATGCAAAACTACCAAGGCGCGTCAAAAAGTGCACGGGACTCACGGAGTCGTGAAAAGTTGCTTCCCATTGCTCCGAAAGCAAACAGGAGCTGCTCCTCCCAAAGTTGACAAATTTGTTAGCAAATCTCACTGCCAGCTATGTAAGATGGATAGCAGAAGGGGGCATTGGTCAGGAGTTTCTTTGAAAACTCAGAGCCCGAGTCCAACGAGCGGGCCACTGCCTGAGCTCAAGCAGTGTACTGATTTGAGCCACCTGTTGATGGCAGCCTCGCTCTTTGACCCAGGTTGTGGTTGTGCGGGAGACGAAAGTAAAGCTGAGCCTCTCTGGATCAAGGCATGGACTATCCGTTGTTGTGTCGAGGTGGTTTTAAATCAACTCACTCTTTCCATCCCACTCCGGCGCTCGCAGACATGTCCATCCTCTTCATTGCAGGCGAAGTGTTCTTGCCCAACCCGAGACACAGGGCTGTCCCACCTGCGGCTACCGTCTCACGGCCGCTCATAGGCACAGGCATTCATTCAACAGACAACAGGTTCAAATCTGCCTACCAAGGTATCATGGAGCTGCCCCCACTGCAGAGGGCGTGATGGCGGTGCCGCAGAGGCCCGCGGCTTCATCCACGGCTGATGATGCTCATTTGCTGTCAACTGTTCAGGTAAGGAAGCACAGCAGCGAAGAGGAGCGTGCCAGTCCAACGAGAGCTCCAGGACCAAGCGGGGGGTGGGTTGTGGTGAGACCAGCGCCCAAGCTGACCAGAAATCAACCTAGATGGGGAACTTGTGCCTATAGTATGGGGTCCTGAAATCCAAGCGCCCCACATGCAAAAAGGCGCATTCAGCATTTTGTCAAGGACCTGGCCTGCTGTCAAGCTCACACCACTTCGATTCCTCAGACCAAGGCTCAGGGTTTTTTTCATGTGCTCTTCTACAAGGGCCTGGTGCTTCTGCTTGACTGTCCAGAGGGAGAAGTTCAGTGGCAAGTGAGAGAAAGACTTTCTTAGTTTGTTTTGAGAGGTTCCGACGGCCTGGGAGTGCTGAGCCCCAGCGGTTCCTTTGCGCCTCCGGGGTCTGGCTCAGGCTTGGATCGAGATCTCTAGGCAGGCATGAGTTCAGAAGCAATCCACAGGCACAAAGGGCAGCCCGGTGAAGGAAGACAGCAGCCGGGCCTGAGCCTTCGCAGCATTGGGAACGGCAAACGGCACTGCATGTTATTCTGACTGACATGAGGAGGCTTGAATTGAATTCAATGCTTGGTGTCATCGATACTTGCCAGGTCAAACATGATTCAGCTGTTGCCGAGGCGCTGCTTGTGGTGCATCCACAGCTCCAGATGCTGATAGCTGCCGAAGGTGCGGACACAAACGGAATCTTGCCATGAACTTGCAGCAGCTTAGACTCACCATGCAGCAAAATGAGTTTGTCTTGTACCTTCTGTGTCTTGCATTGAACATGCCAAGGCCCGCAGGAACTGTTTCAGTTGCCAGAGCCTCCATGATCACCACAGAGGATGTTCGGGTCGCCTGCCTGACGTCACGGTTTGGATATGCCAGGGCATTGTTTTAAATCACGTTCTGATTGAGGCTGATGTCTTCGGCAAGCTGCAGGAACATGGCGAGCTACATTGCGACGAGCTTCCACGTGGGCTCGAACTCTGTGGCTTTGTGGGGATCAAAAAGGAATGGGTCCAGTCCGTTCGAGTGGCTTGCCCATGCAGTAGAGTGGCGTTCTGTTCAATCTTCTGGTTGGTCAAAAGTTGAGAGTATGGTGCCACGTCAACTTCGGGAGAATGCGACCTCCGAGGACTCGGTGACCAAGTACTCCACCCTGGAGCTTGAAGAGTTTCTGGAGTTCGTTCGAGGCTATGAGGCACTGCAGGAAAAGGCCTACAAGGACGGAACCAAACCTGCATCGACAGGTTTCTGAACATGGTTGATCCTTCATTCTGACAACGAACCTGCAGGCGTTGTATCTATATCCAAAAAACAAAGGCAAATGTCAAAGCCCAACCTTTTCAGAACCTCATGAATCGACCTACCTTGCGATAAACTGATTCAAACTTGGTGGTTTCTTCCCAGGAGGCTTTTGAGGAGGCGGACCTCGATCGCTCTGGCACTGTAGAGTCTGCAGAGCTGGCAGAGGCCCACCACCAGCACGGCATCTTCAACCCCTTCCCAAAACTGTTTTTGTTAAATTCAATCATAGCAATTCGGCATGAATGCAGTTGGCAGGTTTGCTTCATGTATAGAGGTCTGCTTGCTTGGAAGCAGAGCCATCAATAGTACTGTGGAAAGGCCCAGCAACTTAGGATGTGTGCAGGAATGTTCTGCTTACAATCTGGCCAATGCAGGTTCTTCACAGCCACAACGTGTCTGTCAGACGGAACAAGAAACAGCATGATATTGAGTGGCAGGGTAGACGTTGCTTGCATTTATGTCAGAACGAAGAGGGGTGCTGCAGCAGTGGTGGGTCTGGCGGTGGCGATGCTGTTTCTAACAGTGCTGAGTGGTTCTGCTTGTTACAAAAAACTAGCGACAGACATCCTGGTTGAACAGAGTTGTTTTTGCCCAGCTGCGGCGGCTGCGTCACATCCAATTTTATCATGGCTTGCATGAGCTTTTTCTATGAGCGTGCTCTTGATATTCGCGTCAACGATCTCAAATCCCAGTGAAGATTGGGCACGTATGAGAACCTGCCTAATGAGCTTCACATTTAAGATGGCTGGCCAGTGGATGACACAGCATGCTTTGCTTTAGCTTGGACTCCTGACCCTGCCCGGAAAAGGTTCTGAAGCAGCTGCAGATTGAGCCAATGCCCCATCCTGAGAATCTCCAAGATGTTGTGCAAGCAGCATGACACTTCATGAAGCTGAAGTCAGCAGTACTGAATACCGACACGAGTCTTTCTCAACTCTGAACATGAACGTGTTCTCACGTGGCGTGGACACATGCGGATAATCCAATACAAGGGCAAGTGCGGCTCTTCGGCCAGTCCCAGGACCCACGTGCTTGATGAGGTCATCCGAGAGGTGGACGAGGCGCGAAGAAGCATGCTGCACCACAGTATTATCCCTTAGCCTTTGGCTTGTGAGAACATGTTCAATAGCGAAAGGAGTTGCTGCCAGCCTTAAGCCCAGATGCTAAGAAGGTCTGAGAAGAGCCTATGCTTTGCATATCATGTTCAGTACTTGCAGGTTGCAGGACTTAGGTGCCTTGCTGCAAATCGGGCAGCAGTGGTAACCAAGCATGAGGGGCAATGAGGGGTGACACTCTGCATTCGGTATTGCTTTCAGGAAGGGCATGGGGAGCTTGTCTACAAGGAGTTCAAGCACCTGATGGACCTGCTTATCCTGCGGGAGGGCTTCACCAGCAGTGAATACGACCAGTTCATGGAAATGTTTGCACCATGGCTATGCATGCTAAGTGGGTAGGTCAAAAGGGTCTTTTGATTCATTGGTACGTACAGGTGAGCTAGGCTTCCCTGCAGGCAAGATTCGACCGGGATAATTGCGGCAAAATTGATGCGCAAGAGTTCCATGCGGTCTTGAACTGGCCACTGACCCAGACAGTTGCAGCTGTTCTGTCCTTGCGATATGATGACATAGAGGGTCAGATGCACGTTTGGAGCAAAATCCTGCAGTGAACAGACAGCAGGTTGGGCTATGCCATGACAGCGGAGGATCTCATGCCGATAATGAGGGATTCTGACGTGAACCTCACGGGTCAGATGAATCACCGCGAGTACCTGATGTGTGACTCGCAATGCAAGGGTCAGTACAGTCCATTGCGGGAGTTATAACTATTGTGGCAACAATGGTCTGTCGCAGTTTCTTGAGATGCTCTGACACCAAGACACGGATAACAAGCCAACCCTTAAGCGTCAAGCTTTCGATACGGGGCTTCTGGAGCCCAAGGAGATATGCCCCCCACTGGTTTATTTACGTCCCCCCCCCCCCTGTTGCTAAGGAGTGTTATCGACACTCAAAAGTATAAAACAAGCATTTCTACCTATATAAGCTGCCAGCAAGATACCTCCATCTCAGCTCATTTCAGTAGATAGCTACGAGGTTTGCGAAAAGTCCGCGAAGCAGAACTGCAGAAGGCAAAGCAGAGCTAGCAATGTGGAAGTCGTTCTTGTTGCAGCATTTTTTCACATTCAGCAGCTTTGTCGGCCAACTCAATTTGGTGACAGGTCCGGCGTGTAATGGAAGCGGCGATTTCTGATCAGAGCGCTGGTTGGCTTTGTCTTCAGAAGACTGTTCCCTTCGCGGCAATTTGAAGACTTTTTGCCTTGGTTGCAGTTAAAAAATAAAGGGTGTTTTCAAGAGCAGCACCTACGGAAATCTTTGGACCATGATTCTTAGCCCAGGATGTGGCCCAAGTCCTGAAGCAGCTGGGTTACGATATGTGGGATGCCCTGGCTATCAACGAGGTGGCCTTGCGTGTGGTAAAGTCTTCATTGCACGTTCATGTCAAATGTATTCATGTTTCAAACGTCCCCTTGAGAATGCCTGGAGGCAGCGGCAGAAGCTGGCCTTCAAGGAATGAGCACGTCAGCAGCTTGGATGTTGGCAGGAGGAGAAGTCATGTGAACCTTCGAAGGTGTGTCATTGTGAAATGTTGGAGGCTGGACTTGAGTGCTCTGTGGCGATTGTTACTGGTGTACCGACAGCGAGAGGCCAGACTTTTTCCACGAGAAATGTGAAACTGCAGACTTAGCGCCGCCATCGGACAGGGGATGAGGAATGAGGAGCTGCAAAGTATCGACGCAGCTTTCCGCCGGGAGGACCAGGAGCGCCTTTGGTTTACGCACTCGGTGCAAAGGCGTCTTTCTGGAAAGTGTAGCCGCGTAGCCCATGAGCCGAAGCCTGTGTTCTGTATCGTTGGGAGCAGGTGTTAAGAAGTTGTTTCTTGCGGCAAATGCGCGTAGTGCCAAGTACTGGTCTGGTAGCATTACATTCACTCAGCTCCGCAAACTGGATCCTTGGATCCTTGACATACCAGAGGGGCCACAGCTTGAGGCCTGAATGAGCCTCTTCAGTGCATTTCAGTGCCAGAAGGTGTGCAAGCAGAGCCCGCAAGCCTACAGTCCTGACTGTGCCAGGATGGCTCCGGTGAGCTCAACTCTCTCGAGGCCTTCGATTGGAGGGTCCATGTGTATGCTTTTGTATAAGTCTGTTCAATGTCCATGCTGGTGCACAATGACAAGAGTCGTAATCCAAAAAGAGCTCAAATCTGGCGATGGTACCGTTAACATCCGTGAACATGCTTCTTGAACCTGAAACATCCGTGCAACAAAGTCACACACTCCGAGTTAATGCACGAATTCAGTACTAAAGTGATCGCACTCGTCATCTTTTGTTATTCATTTGGCATCAGCTCAGTTCTGCCCGCGAAGAAAAAGATGCATCACGCCAAGCTCAAGACACCATCCACATTTTACGCTAATGCAGCCTGCGAGGGCTCCGCTGTCTCCCTCCAACCCAGAAAGCGGAAAGCAGATGAATCCATCAACAGAGAGTGCGTCGGAAACAGGAAGCAGAAAGATAACTGCGCTGTGGAAGGTATCAGTGATGGGATAGTTTGTCAGTCCGAGTTCTTTGTTGACATTTTTTCTAACAGCTTCTCTCACATGTCCAAACTTGAAGCTCAGGCTTAAGGCCTTGGGAAGCAGATAAGGGCTGGTCTTCGCTGGAAAGATATTGTGCTGGCATGGGTTTATGACAAACTTCTCAGCTTCAAACAAAAATAAGCAGAATTATGGAAGAGCAGATGCTGCAGCCCAGGCACCCTCTGCCATTCGTGACCTGGGCTACAAAGTCAGCTTCGAGGTGAGGAAAATGTCTTTGCGAGCACAGTGGGATCAGCAAAGGCTATGAAATCGTGCAGGTTTCGTTTATCAATACTTCGCTTGCCAAGAGTAATAAGAATAGAAGTCCGCCTCTATGCCGCTGTTAGCAGGCCATGCAGAGCGTTCTGCGGCAGGCGTACTTGGTGGCAGCATGGATCATGGATGAAGGTTTCAGGAGGATTCCTTCATAACTGGGCTGAGTGGGCTTCAATATGCTTCAATTTCAGTTTTCCTGCAGCTGCAGATTGTCAGCATGCAGCTTCTATGCAGCTTCTGAAATCCTGCATGGGTGGCACGTGCTAGGCAAGAGAGTAAAACGCAAACGAGGATGTTTTTCTAAGTAGCACAAGATCGGGGAATCAAGGGTTGTGCGACGAGGTACTCGTATTCCCTCTTGTATGGGCCGTATGGGTGAGTTTCATGTGATTGTTGTTGCTGATGCAGGTAGATGTTGATGATTCTCATCGGCTGGATCCGAGCTGTGCTCAGACAGTTCTGATATTCATGATGACCGCGCATCCGCATGCGATTTAGAATCGGGTTGGCGCAGAATGGCCTGGTGTTGGAGATGTGTCAGACTGCTATGCTCATAGTATCGGTCGTCTCGTGTTCAGGCGTCAGTTCCGCAAAATGGTCCGTATGTTGCAGGACAGACCAAGTCGCTGAGAGACTTTTTTTTGCTGATGACTTCATGTGCTTAGATTTCAGAGAGCGCCTCGAGTGTGAAGTGCTAGGTGCTTGGGTACTTAAGCAGCTGGTGACCAGACATAGTATGTCATAGGTTTCCAGGAGTGCTTGGGAGGGTATTTGGGTTTTGGGGGTTGCTGTGCTTCAAGTCCCAGCCAGCCAAGCTCTCACTGCCGCAGCCTGGTTTGGGTGAGGCACCTTTAGTCACTGCTGAGCTCTTCTTTGGTTCAACTCTTTAAGTGATTTGCTGACCTAAGGGTTCTGCATTTCACCCGTGCCTGTCTTTTGATTGCAAGTCACTTTTGACATGATAGTGTGCGCGCAGAGCACACAAAGCACGCAAAGCAAATGCTAGGAGCGCGACATGCTCTGCTTCCAGCAGGCAGGTGCTTGCATCTTGCTTTGGAAGACTTTTCACATGAATGTGCAAGCAGGCTTTTGATGAGCAGGACCCTTACGGAATGAAGGCTGCAACTTGCACTGTAAACGCGTGCAAATGCAAGCCGACCGTAGCACTTGTAGGCTTCAAGGAAGGCAGAGAAAAACCTTTGCAAGGGATGCACAGACAAAGTCCTTGTGATGCACCAGGTAATTGGCATAGCTGAGGCCGTCCAGGCCTCGCTGTGCTTTTGTCTGACGCTATGACCCACATTGGTTTGGAACGCAGCCGCGCAGCCGCAGGCTTTTTCCAACCTGGGCTTCCAGGATGGCAAGGTCCCTTGGAATTGCTGCGCTGTGCCAGGGTGAAGCCGCAGATCTGTCAGCAAAGCGAGTTTACAATGGTTTGCAGCCCTTGCTGCAAGCAACTGGAGACGTTTTCCCATGTTGCATCGCATGAGTTTGAGCGAGCATCAGCAGTGGTCGTAAACGCTTGCCCCCATTCCAAACCAGACTGCTTCCTTCGAACATCGCTGGATCAGGATCTGTATTCCCAGCTGTATCCCTGTGCTAATTGGCATAACTGCAACTTTGCAGCTTGGATAGCTGCCGGTTTTGAATTATGCTAAGGGGGCTGTGAATGTGCAGGGAGGCCTTCAGAAAGATGGGCTTCTGAGTTTGCGCAGAGTGACGTGCCAATTTGGCAAGGGTTGCCAGGGAGCTGCATATAGTGCTGCCAAAGAAGTCAACAGCCTGCCACGCGCTTTGGAAAGTTCAAGCAGTGTGTGCCAGAGTCGGACAAGAACAGATTCGCCGTGCAGGAGTATCTCCACGATACAGAAATGGCAATGCCAGGACAAGGCGGCAACCTTGCCGCTAGCCCAGCTCCAGCTTTCATTTTTTTGGCTTTTTGCAGCGTTGAAGGCTTGGAGGCTGAGGTTCTTCATCGTATGAAGACATTGCTGACGTCAGAAGTTCAATCTGATTCACGAATCAAATTTCACTCGTGCTTGATTGCGTGTATTGAAGACTTTGCGAAGGATTCCTGTGATCAGGTTTACCGTGATGGCTTCGTACGTGCTCCTGGCCCACTTGTGGGTTCTCTTCGCCACGTGACCCCTTTTCAGCTAAGCAGGCTGAGACCTGTTTGCATCATGATTGAAGTGGCTAGGCAGCAGTGTGGCTCCAGCATGCTCAGGCTGTAGTGCTTACTCTGCAGAAAAAAACACATAGCTTCTCTGCAGATGGTCTCAGGCTCAGCAGCTAATGAGACTCCAGTCAGGGGATCAGTATCTGGCAGGTGGGGCGCTTGTCGACTCTTTGCTTGTGGAATGAATGCTGGGATGATCCTGGGAATTTACGCAGAGTACCTTTGGGCTGCTGACTGGCTGGAGTTGCCAAAGCAATGCAACTTCCGAAGTGAGCTTCCTTGGCTCGAATTGGCTGATTGCTTCCACCGCTACACCTTCTCGCATGCAATGCTCCGTGGGCAGAACCTCTCAATCTTTGCATATATTGGCAGCATTGTTGTGGCGTGCTTGATCATGGCAGAGAAACAGCGAAAAGTGAGACTGACCAAGCTGTTACAGGCCAGGCTGCATGGTGATCCCACACCCTCGACGGCACAAGTTGCCGTGCATCGCTCCCTGAACTTTTTATCCATCTACTCCAGCTTGCTGTGTGTGGCCCTCCCTGGTGTGCTTCTGCTCGTACCCTTTAACTTGAGTTGGCCGCGGATGCACTACGGTTGCACTGTCCTGGCGCTGTCTTCGTTTGTTGTTGGGATGATTCTCTATGCCACCATGCCACTTGGCGCTGCTGCAGGCGAGGATGACAATGAGCTCAGCCGGTGGGCAGAGCGGCATGCACGACTCCGTTTCAAGGTGTGGTGCATCGTGGCTTTGCATCTTGGTCTGCCAGCTGCTGCTGGATTACATCACCTTCTGTGGCTTGATGTGACTGGAAGACTGTTTGGATTTTGCGAAGTGATGGCCATCCTCTCATATCAGTTCTTCCTCGCTTCATTCTCCGCCGATGATTTTGCTGCAGACCCAGACAGGGGTCGGAGCATTGTCAGTAAAGCTCTGCCACAAACCTCCCCTGCTCCTGGAGATTTGGCAAATGTATTTGGACATAGTCAATAGCTTTGAGCAGATTGCGGGAGCGCAGCGACATGCCTTTGAGATGATGCAAGTGGTTCAGTGTCATATCACATCATGTCAGACATTTTGGTGTCTTTGCAATGACAGCCTGCGTCAGTCAAGCTGAGTCTAGTCTGACTTCTTTCTTGTCCTGATTGCGCATGCCACGCTCCCACCGTTCATGTGAGTCTACTGGTCTCTGAGCAGCTCTCGGTTTACTCGTGATACAAGCATGAAGGCACAAGCTGCAACTCTTGTGTCAAAGTGTTGTCATCCGCAAGACCCTTCAGGTTGGAGTTGCTCAAAGGGGGAGGTACTCAGAGAGTTGTACGGGGGTCTCTGGAAGCACTAGGGAGGCGAGCAAATTTTGGAAATTAACTGTTTGCCAACCCCGCTTGAACCACCCCCTCAAAGACCACGTGAGACATCTTGCTTGCCAGGTTCCTGTCAGAGGTATGCTCGCATGTCTCGCGAGGCAAGGTGCTTCATGTTCAGCTGATGTAGCAGCGTATGAGAACCTGAGACTGCCCCTGCAGACAATCAAGAAAAACGGTGGGTGGACTGACCTCGAGGCTTCGTGCGGTCTCATGTTTACGTGTTGTCGCATTCCACGTAGGGTGCTGTTCGACACATGCTCTTGCAGGTGGACGAGCTCCATCTCATTTTCAAGCGGTATGACGCCAACAAAACAGGGCGAGTTAGCAAAAGCGAGTCCTTCCCTGAGAAGTCACGTTTGCCACTATTCCTTTAACTTGGTCAGTTCATTCCGGGGCATTATCCCAGCAACAGCAATCGCATCACAGGCATTGCGTGAGTGAGGCTGATTCAACTTGTGGAAGATGTCGTTCCGGAGTTAGCCAAAGAGAGGCTCGCAGCATGCGGAGAAGGCGACCAGCCTGCTGAAATCAGTTGCTGCAGGTCGAAGCGTCCACAACTTCTTTCGCTGATGCGCGAGGCCCTCTACCGGAATCTTGCTTGCCACAAGCTAGTGATGTAGTATGAAGCCCACCTTCTCATAGTTATGGTCGAGGTCCTTCTGAACTCCACGAAAAACATTTAATGCGAGCGCTTGATCAGCAAGGGCAGCCGTGGTCCCCGCCCCCTCTCAGAAGAATGTCCGAGCCCCGCTGTTCGAGAGATTCGAGATCCGAAAAGAAAAAGTACATCATGCCAAGTGCGAGCAGTACCTTCAAGCAGGTAGTAAGAGCTAGAGATAGCTAGAGCAAGTAAGAGTAAGAGGTAAGGGCAAGAGTGTGCGTTGGAGAATGAGGAATGAGGTTTGATTCCCCACATTCCTGTGGGGTTCTAGTTGTTTGATGTGCTGTCGCCCGCCTTGCCTGGGTACTCTTCCGTCGCGCAAGCATTCGGGACGCGCGCTTGTTCGCTTCAAAATTGCGCTCTCGCTTGGAGCATCCTCAACAAATTGGCGTTCTATGTTGTTGAAAGTTGCGCTCCCGTGCGGTATATCCTCAAAATCTCAGGTTTTGCTTGCTCAATAATCATTCAGAAATTGCGCTCCCGCGCGAGACAATTCGTTTGTTCGTGCGTTTTGGATCATCTTCATATCTTCAAAAATCGCGCTCCCGTGCGGAGCTTCATCGAAGTTTCGTCGATTTAGCTTCATCAAATTCGATCAAAATAACGCCCGCGTGCGGAGCATTTGGAAAATTTGGGTCATTTATGAACGATGATGTCGAGGAGTTCTATACCAATTCCATATCAAATCAGGCCCGGTGTGCTTTGTTTGAGGTTGTTTTTTTGGGCTCAAGAGGGCGGTATGTGGCGCAGGTTTCCGGTATAGCTTTGGTATAGGATTCGTCGGCATCATCGTTGAAAATCTGAGCGGCTACTGGATGGATCCTATACCGATTCTATATCAAACTGCTCTGCTCAATCTCGTCTTCTTCGTTCCAGTTTTGAAGAAAATCGCGCTCCCGTTGGGAGCATTAAGAAAATTTTGAGGAAAATTGCGGAGCATCCTGAAAATTTTGAAGAACATCGCGCTCCCGTGCGTAGCATCCTGAACATTGTGAACAAAATCGTGCTCCTGTGCGGAGCATTCTGAAAATTAAGAAAAATATTGCGCTCCCGTGCGGAGCATCCTCCAAATTTCATCGTTCTTTGGTTCAAAATCGCGGTCCCGTGCGGAGCATCCAGAAAATCGCGCTCCCGCGTTCTTTCGTTCAGAACTAAGCTTCCGTGCGGAGCATCCTGAACATTTGAAGAAGAACGCGCTTCCTTTCGGAGTGTCCTGAAAATTTTGAAGAAAATCGCGCTCCGGTGCGCAGCATCCTTAAAATCTTGAAAAAAATTGCGCTCCCGTGCGGAGCATCCTTAACAAATCGTAGACTTTTCATCAAACATCGCGATCCCGTGCAGAGCGTCATGAAAATTCTGAAGCCCGCGCGAAGCATTCTGAAAACGTTGTTAATTGTTCATTCAAAATCGCGCTCCCGTGCGGAGCAGAGCATCTTCGGAATTTGGTCGGTTTTTCATTACATACATACAAACATCCATGCATGCATGCATACACATTTTACTTACATACATACATACATACATACATACACACACGCATACATACATGGTATACATTTCTATAGGTATATATGTATAAATGTATATATGTATATATGTCTGCCCGCCTTGCTTTTTCAGAAAATGAGGACCCTTCAAGGCTTCGAAGTCCCGAGATTTGAGCCTTGGTTTTGGTCTTGTTTTGTGGGTCCCGGAACCTGTTCTTTTGGGACCCACAAACTTGGCAGCCCGAAAACTTCATGAACCCCTCCTACACTGGGCATAGGTCTGGGCGAGGACCCTTCAAGGCATCAAAATCTCGAGATTTGCGCCCTGGTTTTGGTCTTGTTTTGTGGGTCCCGGAACCTGTTCCTTTGGGACCCACAAACTTGGGAGCCCGAAAACTTCATGAACCCCTCCTACACTGGGCATAGGTTTGGGCGAGGACCCTTCAAGGCCTCAAAATCCCCAGATTTGCACCCTGGTTTTGGTTTTGTTTTGTGGGTCTCGGAACCTGTTCCTTTGGGACCCACAAACTTGGCAGCCCGAAAACTTCATGAACCCCTCCTACGCTGGGCATAGGTCTGGGCGAGGACCCTTAGGCTTCAAAGTTTCCAAGATTTGCGCCCTGGTTTTGGTCTTGTCTTGTGGGTCCGGGAACTTGTTTTTGGGACCCACAAACTTGGCAGCCCGAAAACTTCATGAACCCCTCCTACACGGGGTTTTGGGACCCGCAGATCTGGCACCCCAGCTGGTCAAGTATGCTCTGCGGCTTCAACGTCTGGCAGTTTCAGTAGGGACAAGACAGCGATTCGGCAACACCAAATTTTTGAAGGAGATTGGTGCTACCGACCCGCCCCTGCTTGTCCTTCATTTGAATAGCACAAGGCGCACCATAGACATATCATGATATCGAAAACAACGGAAAAAACGCTTGAGAAAATCTGGTGCTATCGAGCCGCCCCTTGTCTGTCTCCATACTAGGATAAGCCAGCGGTTCGACAACACCAAATTTTCTACAAGGAGATGCTTCAGAAAATTTGGTGATATCGAACCGCCCTTTTTTGGTCCTTTATTTGAATGACACAAAGTGTCCCCCAAACATATCATAATATCGAACTGAAATGAAAATCGCTTGAAAAATCTGGTGCTATCGTACCGCCCCTTGTCTGTCTTCAAACTAGGATATGCCAGCGGTTGGGCAACACCAAATTTTCAACAAGGAGATGCTTCAGACAATTTGGTGATATTGAGCCACCCCGTCCTTGTCATTTATCTTAAGCGCAAGGGGTACCATAGACATATCATAATATCATAAACAAGATTAAAAAGCGCTTGAGAAAATCTGTTGCTATCGAACTGCCCCTTGTCTGTCTTCATACTAGGATAAGCCAGCGGTTCGACAACAACAAATCTTCGACAAAGAGATGCTTCAGAAGAGAAAAAAGAGAATTTGACGGGTCAGAAATCGTGGTTTACTGAGACTTGTAGAACTCACCACGAAATTCATCCCCAAACGGAAGGAGCCCTTTGAACGCCGGAAGATGGCTCGGTTTTCAATTAACTCTAGGACAGAAATCACCGTTTTCTGAGCCCCTAGAATTTTTCGGGGAATTCATCACCAAATGGAAGGAACCCTTTGAACGCCGGAAAATGGCTCGGTTTTCAATTCACTCTAGTACAAAAATCGTCGTTTTCTGAGCCCCTAGAATTTTTCGGGGAATTCATCACCAATGAAAGGAACCCTTTGAACGCCGGAAAATGGCTCGGTTTTCAATTCACTCTAGTACAAAAATCGTCGTTTTCTGAGCCCCTAGAATCTTTCTAGAAATTCATCCCCAAATGGAGGGGGAATCCCAACAAACCCGGAAAATTGCTCTGTTTGCAATTAACTCTCATACAGAAATCGCCGTTTTCAGAACCTCTAGACTTCACCAGGAAATTCCTCGCCAAACGGGAGGCTCCCGTTTTCAATTAAATGTAGTACAGAAATCGCCGTTTTCTGAGCTCCTAGAATCGCCCAAGAAATTCATCCCCAAATGGGAAAGCCGGAAAGTGGTTCCGTTTTCAATTAACTGTAGTACAAATATCGCCGTTTTCTGAGCTTCTGGAATCTACCAAGAAATTCATCCCCGAATCAAAAATTGCGCTCTCGTGTACATCATCTTGAAAATTGTGAAGAACATCGCGCTCCCCGTGCGGAACATCCTGCAAATTTTGATGAACATTGCCCCTGTGCGGAACATCCGCAAAATTTCGTCGTTTCCTCATCAAAAACCGCACTCCCGTACGGAGCATCCTTAAAATTTCGTCGTCTTTACATCAAATCGTGCTCCCGTGTGGGGCATCCTCAAAATCGGTCTCTTTCAGGATAATCAATGTTAATCATAAGGGTATATCGAGGAGGTCATAAGCCCCATAAATCGTCAAATAAATTTACATGACGATTTTTCTGATTGTCCCCAAGGACTTGCTTGATGACAGCCAAAACCCATAAAAGGTCAAATCGCAAGCACTGTCCCCCTAAGATGTCTGAGAGAATAATCGTCTCCCCTAATCTCCAATCGCAATGGTGTCCCCTCAGGTGTTTTCAGAGAATCATCTCCCCTAATCTTAGGGGGACTAGGAAGCATTTAAACCCAAGCATTTAAATATTGAGGTAGGGGTTCTTACTGTAAAGAAGTTAAATGCCTATAGTTAAATGCTTCCTAGGGTTCCTAATAATCTCAAATCGCAAGCAGTGTCTCTCTAAGGTGTTTTCAGCGAATCAAGTCCCCAAATCTCAAATCGCAAGCAGTGTCCCCCTAAGATTGTTCAGAGAATCAAGTCCCCAAATCTCAAATCGCCAGGGGTGCCCCCCCAAGATTTTCAGAGAATCATCTCCGCAAATCTCAAATCGCAAGCAGTGTCCCCCTAAGATTTTTCAGAGACTCATTTCCCCAAATCTGAAATCGCAAGGGGTGTCCTCCTAAGAGATTTCAGAGTCTCATCTCCCCAAATTTCAAATCGCAAGCAGTGTTCCCTCAAGATTTTTCTTCGAAGCATCTTCCCAAATCTCAAATCGCAAGCAGTGTCCCCCTAAGATTTTTCAGAGAATCAAGTCCCCAAATCTCAAATCGCAAGCAGTGTTCCCTTAAGATATTTCAGAGACTCATCTCCCCAAATCTGAAATCGTCAGGGGTGTTCCCCTAAGATTTTTCAGCGAAGCATCTTCCCAAATCTCAAATCGCAAGCAGTATCCCCCTAAGATTTTTCAGAGAATCAAGTCCCCAAATCTCAAATCGCAAGCAGTGTCCCCCTAAGCTTTTTGAGAGAATCAAGTCCCCAAATCTCAAATCGCAAGGGGCATCCCCCCAAGATTTCTCATAGAATCATCTCCCCAGTTTTCGTCTCGTCTTCTTGTTCTTCTTTATTTCGGTGGGCGACGGCATCCTAATATCATTTCATTTAGATGCAGGTTAAACTACACATGTGGGGTTCTCCGGTCCTTTAATTTGATTTCCCAAGAACATATTAATTTTCACCAGATTTCAAATGAACTCAAGTAATTCCAATTGGAATTCAAATGTCTTTTTATGTGACGTGAAATTATTTCAAATAGATTTGATGGGTTTACTGACAAAAAGGTTCCCAAATCAATGAGAATGAGCAACTTTCCATGATTTTAGGGGGGTTCCCGTAAATGTAAAAAACCGTCCTCCGACGCAAGGTCCAAGAGTTTAAAAGGGGTAGCTCAGGAAACCATGTTTGAGTCTTTAATGCCAAATTATTTGTAGAAAAAATCTAGTCTGAGAATCAGCAGTTTTGTAACATCATTTTCAGAAAAGCCAAGCGATGAAGCGCAACCTTCCCCATGCAGTTTGAGGTTTCAAGATTTATGCTTTTGTTGTTAGAGTCTTAGGATTCGAGCTAAGCCTTAAGCCCTTAAACCTGACCTCCTGATGAGGCAAACCTTTTTCGTTTTCTAGGGTATGGATTAGGAGGATCCCCGACCGTGTAATAGTGACAGGGAGAATAATGATTGTATTAGGGTTCCTCCTATATTCCCACTATACCACTATTGCAGGGTGGGGCGTCCTCCTAAGGTATGGAAATTATTTCTTTGAATCTAGGGTTTTTTGTGCCCAGAACGGCCTCTGCCTTTTGAGTTCTCTTGGAACCATAATTTGACCAACATATTTTTGAAAGTCTAGAGGTTTTATGAATCAAAAGCATGGATTACCGCTGCCAACTTTTGGACAACTTCATACCTGGTGCATGCTGTGTTCCCTACCACAGCCCTGGATACCAATGAAAGATGTAACTCCTGCTTCACTGGCCCAGCTCCAAGTGATTTAGGGCAGAGGCGGGGCCCCGGACTAGGATGATGGAAGTAGTGAGACGTCAAAGGCAAATCGAAACCCAAAACATAGGACTTGGGAAACGAGGCAGGGGCGGAGACGGGGGAACAGGGAAGGCCCAGCACACAAAGGCAAAGACAGGGGAGAGCTGCGGCCTGGCGCCTCGGCAGATTTGAACTCTGAAGTCAACAATGCTTCCTGGGTCAGTGCCCGGGGCAGGTGGACCAGGATGCCACCGGCAGCTGCGCCCTGAGTGGCAACATGAATGCTGATTGCTTTGCATTTTAGCATCTAGCTCGGCACATTGTGCATTCCACAGCTGCAATACATGGGGCAGTGAGGCTTGGATTTTGAGCACTTCTTAAAGCTCATGGGGCTCTTCCGTGGCTTCAAGGCCGGCCATTGAACCCTGTCATGATTGCTTGTGGACACCTTTGCAATTGTACAAAGCCCACTCAGGACAAGGAACGATCGAGGAAAGAGCAGCAGGCCACCAAGGCCTTACCGGTTACTTGTTGTCAATGCAGAGGCAGCTGCATTCATGGGGGTAGAGTTTTGAGCTGTTAGTAAGTCCGTGTCCGATGGATTCGCCATGCCTCTGATGATTGTCCTTTTTTCAAAGCTGCTGCTTCCTTATTGCCGGAGGAGGCTGGCTTTACGAACCAGGAGGTTGCTGAGTGAGGAGCTCATGCCAAGCATGCGCCAAGATGTGCGTTTGTTTGTGAGAGCAAAGTCTTAGAACTTGTTCCGAGGGCACAAATCGATTGGATACGGCACGATGCAGCTGAGGTTTCGTGAGCTCTTCCTGAACTCGCTTGGTGCTGACTCGCAAGATCTGGGCTTCGAAGAGGTACGTGTGAAGGTAACTACCGGCGAACATGTGGCTGCTCCCTATGTTTGTATCCCCGCGCCAGTTCCGAGCCATGATCCATGGCATCACTCCTTTGGGTGATGCTCTCACAACAGAGCTGGAGGAGATCTTTGCTGAGGCCTTGTGTAGTGTTTCCTTTGACGTCTTTTCATTGCAGCTACAGTGCCAATCACAGGTCTGCAAGAAGCAGACCGAGGCTGGTGTCTTGCAGAGGTATGGAAACTGCAGAATCCTTACATTGTCATACTTCTGCCGGCTGCAGGCCGACTTCCCCGACTTCTTGCTGCTTCTGAGGAAGCTGCTGGACTGCAACTTTGCATCCATCAAGGCAGGAGATTTTTGAACGAGCTGGCCGTCAGCTTCAGTAGACTATGCAGTGTCCTATCAACTGCGCAGGACAAAACAAGCGGACCTCAAAGAAGGTGATTGTACAAAGACGGCCTCTTGCGCTTGGGCCTTGCCTGCCGTGCAGGGGCTTTTCGAGACACGTTTCTCGCCTTCCAAATTTCGCAAAAATTGCGATCAATTTAAGAACAACTGGGTAATTGGTTGTGTCTGCTCCATGCTGACCATGCCAGATGCATCGTCTGCAAGGGATGGATGTAGCCCTCCCCTGATGCTGTGAAGCCTCTAGGCCTTAGGCCTGTGCTTACTGCATCAGCATCTATTTGTCGGATGGTGTCGCGGGACCCATCCACAAGCTCCTCCAGTCTGTGTATCGCCCAGGTTGGTGCGATGAAAAAGCGACATCTTTGCAATAGATTCAACCTGAGACGCCGTTGAGACAGCCCGAAGAAGTACAAGTCAAAGCAGTCATGCCTCTGTTGGAATTTGAGAGTTTGTTGTTCCAGATGCAGCTTGGGAAGTTAAAGGATTGCATTCCCTGGCTTGCCGTTCGAGCTCAAGTTGCAAAAGACATGTTGATCTGTCCTTGCAGCTTCCAGTTTGCGCTCCTGAGTGGGCAGCCCGGAACCATCGCACTCGAGCAGTGTTAGGCGGCCAAAATTCGCAATAAAGACGAGACTGTATCACCGAGCAAGAGAGGAAGAGGGTGCAGGGGGCGCAAGATGGTGCAGACTCTGAAGCTCTGTGAACTTGAGGTGCTACTTCATGCCAGGTGCCCTGGAAGTGGCACACACCGATGCTGGAACAAGATTTCTGCTTTCAGCCTTTCAATCAATTTTTTAGATGCCGTGTCTCGCACCAGCATAGCCAAGGACAACGCGGATGTCTTGACCCTTGAGGAAGCTTTGGTGCCTCCAAGTGGAAAGACAGCCCTGGATACTTGCTTTGCAGAGGGCACGAAGGTTTTGGATTGTGACGCAGAGACCGCTGTTCCAGCTACACCAGCCACACCATCTTCTCCGTGCACTCGCAGTACCAACGCAAACTCCCTGGATGGTGTGGTGCCTATCCTGACAGCTGGCCAAGGTTCTCTTGAAGTATTTCTGAACCCTGTTGTAGGCATCTGTGATCTCAGTGATGCTGATGAGCCGGAAGCTCTACAGGCAGCTGAGCATTTGTTGATATCAGACCTGAAAATGAAGCAGTGCAATCTGCTCAGGAGTTGGAACCTTTGTCTGCGCCTCAAATTGTTCTGTCGAATCTCACAGCAAAGACATCATGAAGCTGAGGCAGGTCGTCCAGAAAGCAAGAGCATGCCTCTGAGCTTGCTAAGTGCAAATGCGGGAAGTGGCAAACCGTAAGCCACAAGCTCAGATCTTCAAGGTCCCGTACGTTCCTCATTTGAGCGACTGCAGGCGAGATGCTCGCACGAAACTGCTCAGTCTTACATGGGTCTTACATTGCATCGTTGCAATTTCAAGATATTCCACGCCTTCTTGAGCAGGATGTCAGCTGACATCTCGCAGGCTTGGCCCATGTGTATCTTCTTGTTTGAGCATGGATTGGCGGCACATAGCTGGAGCAAAGCAGTAGTTCATTTCTAAAGTCCCCCGAAGCTCTCTGAGCTGAAGTCTTTTTTTGCATGCCATCCTTCATGCAGCTGCCACTTGGGCTCGAGCTTTGAGTTGTTTCAGTTTAGGTTTAAGGAACTAGACGGGAGCGTTGGTTTGGAGGACTTGTGTTTCGTGTCTTTTGTCCAATCCTCTTAAAGTCGCTGTTTCAGGAGACCTGGTCTCCTGGTCCGAGCCCACGTCCGGGGCATCGGACCCATGGCTCGGAGGCTGCTTTTCCTGGGCCTCGCTCTCCAGGCTGGAATGATATTCCCTGATAGTTTGGAAGTCATTGGAAGTGTCTGGGTGGTCGGGTTTTTCCGTTCCAGCTTGGCTCGCAGGTGCCTTTGCTACAAGCCCAGACCAGTGAGGATGTGGACTTCATGCGAAGTAGCCCCCTGGGCTGCTTCGTAAGAGGCCGGATTTAGCGGAGTGATTCGCAGTGAAGGGCAGGAAGGCATACAGACGTACGTCACCACCAGACGTGTTCCAGTTGGATGGAGTTGCATATCCCTCGCGCAGGCTTCAAGTTTGATCGTTATATACCAAACAAGAACATCAACACAACCAGTCTGAAGTTACTTGGCACAACGAGAACTGAGCAAGTTCGTGCGTTGCTTTGCGCTTCTGGCGCAACTGCCGCTGAGGCTTTGCCAACAGCATTGCCAATATGTTGACGGCTGTGTCAAATTCTCCTACAGAGCTTTCTGGGGAGAGTGCTGGTTCGCTGTCTTCGTCTCAGTCTGTACCACGAAGTCGTGAAGCCAACAACCTCCGATACTGCCGGATCTGCCAGCTGCAGCAGAACTTGCTCAGTTCAGGACATCAATGCGGTGGAAGTGCCTGTGGAGAGCCCGTATTTGATTGTAGGCGGGCCGCATATTCCAGAGTACCGCTTCGTGTGCAACTCGGAGTGGCTTTGCAGGCTACAGAACCTGCGATACGCAGGGAATGCAAAGGCCTGCCAGGCTGGGTTTTCATGCGACGACCTGCGTATGGCTTTGTGGTTAGATAGACATGTGCAAGAAAGGATGATGTAATCAGCTTGTCAACCAAAACCCCTCCTGGCTGAGATGGCTGGAATCCACTTGCCCAGAAAGGGAGTTGGAAAGGGAATGAAAGAGTTCTGTGCGGGAGGTGCAGCACGGAGACACCGGGGAATGGCTTCCCAGGGCAGACAGCCGAGGCCTCCAATGCGGCATGGCCAGGCCCGGCTTTGGAAGCACTTCCCTGGAGAAGCTCAACAGATATACAGATGTGTTCTTGTCCCATGCTAGGTGGCAAACAGCCTTACAGCTTGGAATGTTGGCCGAAGAGCTGGGACGGCGCACCCCTGCCTTGCAAGGAGGTGGACACAGTCATGTGGGTGGTACGGGCTCATGTTCTGGAACCCTTGTCTGGAATGATCCCTTTGAAGCGCCTGGACAGTTGACCATGTTTGTCGCTTTCCCACCTCACGATCAGTGGCCAGCATGAGTGTGCTCTAGACCTTGCGTTCGTGCAACGCACTGCACCTCGCAAAAGAATGCCTTACTGGCACAGGTTTCCGTGTTGGATGACACCAAGAATGGTTGGCCCGGCAAGTGTGTTGGCCTTGTAGATGCTCGGCCTTAACGGTGGAGGTGTTGCCTGTGTCTGTGAACTGATTGGGCAAGTGCATCCATGTTTGTTTGCTTCATTTAGCTTCCCAAGGAGATGAAGCAAGTTAATGGGTCCAACTGCGGCTATGCTCCAAGTTGCAACGGCATTTCCCGAGTACTGTTCGATGGAATCGCATGTGGTTGTCAGGCGAGAACTGTCGCCAACATCCTGGCTGCCAATCGTGGCAGAAAACTGTTTACAACAGTTGCTGGCAGGGCCTTGGCAAGGACATCATGAGCAGCTGCAAAGAGCCGAGTTGAGTCCTCATATTGGCAGGACTGCTTCGTCCGCCACAATTGGATGCCCAAAGAAGCTCAAAGGCTTCAGCACGGATCTGTCCGAGTGCTGAAGGACCTGACAGGAATGCAGATCGTGGGCAGCTTGTCTCCCTTTTTCTTTGTTTGCATACTCTTCGCTTTTTGTTGTGCAGGGCGTGTGCACTACCTAGATGCCCCCCAAACAAAAAGAAGTCGAGGTTTGTGGAAAGGCTTCGATAACATCGAGGGATTTTTCCAGAGTCTTGGTGGCAGCCAGCCTCAAAATGCTCCTTGCCAAAGCACTTTGCAAAGTGAGCATTGGAAGTTGCCTCAGCTCAGGAATGCGCAAGATGCGATTGCGTTTTGCAAGCACATGTGCTACTCCGACTTCAGATGTCAATATTGGACCTATGCTCCTAATTATGGCTGCTGGATTGAGGATGCATCGCAGGCAGATGTATCTCCGAGTGCTTTCCTAGAGCTGCGGGAGGACAGGCATCTGAAATACCTTACATGCCCCTTTCTGTAGGAGTACGGGCCACCTTTCCCTTTGACGCTGGATGCAGCTCGTCGCGACACGATGTTTGCCGCAGACTGCGTGGCTGGGGAGTACATTCAGCACTTCTGCCCAGCTGCCTGGCTCAGCCGGCAGAGCAAGGTGATGTTGTCGCGGCTGCTCTCTCTCTCTCTCTGTCTCTCTTTGGCTCGCGGTCTACACAGTCTGAATGCGCGCTCAGGAGGGCTTCGTCAACCGGATAGAGCTGGAGCAACCGGCAAATTTGTCCGACTGCGCTGAGAAAGGTTTCCGATACGAGCCACCCGACATGTTCCTTACCCACAGGCCGAGAGGGAGTCTGCACATTGGAAGATGTGATAAAACATGCAATCAAAATCTTGCAGGACATCGGCAGATAGCTGGGAGCAGTGCCGCATGCGGTGCAAGCTCACGGTCTATTGCCATGAGCTCAGAACCTTGCAGCATTCTGTTGAGCCCAGCTCTGCGCATGTGATTGCATCTGTTATAGCAACATGACCCCTGTAGATACAAGGCAACTTCTTTGCATACTGGCCAGATGGCGGCTGCCACATTGCTGGTGGTGATGCTCACAGGGTTCCGGCCGAAAATTATGAGGTAATTTCAGGCCAGGTTTGCTGACACTAGAAAGGTCTTGGCGCTGTACAGCGACCTGTCTTGTTGCTCAAGTCATCTGACCAGGCCCAACTGACTGCTCCAAAGCCTACGTGACTACAACAAATTTGGAAGCCTGGGCGACAACCACAATTGGACTCCCAGTGCATGCAGGCGGGGCCCCACGTCAGGCGCAGAAATGTCTGTCACTGACTGTATTCCTGTTAGACCTTGTTAGAGAATGCTGACTTTCACATTTCGCTCACCCAGAAACTCAGCCTTGCATACCTCGCCGAAACCACGGGAGGTAGGTCCCATTTTTCTTGGTCTTTGTTTGGACGATGAAGCTTTTCCGCTTGCAACACATCGACAATGGGAGCATGTGAGCACACGATGCATGTACATTTGTCGCATGCGTTTGTGGCATGCTATTACGCATTGGCCTGCTGCTGATACTTCAGCAATCGCAGCCTCCAATCATGTTTGTAAGCTTTGCTGGGACTGCAAGGAACTGCTAGGAAGTGCTGCGCAAACTTGATGAGGATGGGAAGGCCCAGCCAAAACACGGGACCAGCCTGGGAAGACCGTGGGAAATTGCACTTGGAAGAGTTCCAGATGTTGTAGTTTACAAGAATATGGAGAGCAAAAAGGGACGGGCCCATGTTCGGAAAACGTCGCAGAGCCAGCCTTAGGAGAGGCCTTCGCTCTGGAGACAGGAACATCTGTTGAGGTTTTTTCTTTGCCGCTGCCGTTGCCGCCGCCGCCGCTGGCGGCGGCGGTGGTGGTGGTCCTGGTGATGGTGATGGTTTAGGGGTTGGACAAGGTGATGTTGGGCGAACGTGGAGCCCAACGTTAATAATTCGATGTCGAGACATATCATCTCTGTAGCTGTTAAGAACATGCTTGTCGTGCTGACAGAGCAGCTTGCATGAAACAGAGGTTATCATGTAAATCTAATGCCGCAACAGAGTCCGCGGCAGGCGTCGCAGCGCCTGGAGCTGACGCGCCCGCGAAGGACCAGCCCGGATTGCCCCTGGTGCCACAGACAGCGCACATGGCTGAGATCCAGATTCTTGGCTCCGGAAAGTCCAGTTTTCTCATTTTTCTTGAGTGTGATCTCACTGCCTCACTCAATGCCTTCATGCAGTGGGCAGTCTTTCCACTTGACAGAGCTGAGGATGCCACTTCACAACCTGGATGTCGTGTCCCTGTCAGAACCAGCCGCTGGCATCGTATTCAACGCTCAGTGCGAGATTCATGCTACCTTCGTAAGACTCCATGTCAAGCTCTTTCATGCGTCACAGACACACCAGTGTCGAGGAAGTTCACCTCCTTCAAGCACGGAGCTTCGGCTGAAGCTGGTCAGTTAAATTGCCGAAGGGCCATGCTGCAGAGTCCGGACAACTTGAAGTCGTGATTTGGTGAGCTGGTCTCTTGAGTAGCAGCTTTCTGCACCTGCACTCATGCCTAGTCCACCAATCATGAAACAAGCAATCGTGCAGCAAGCTTGATCTTGGTGTTGAAGCAACTGACATCAGGTATGCAGAAGCAATCTCACAGACTCTTAAAATTCCGGTGGATCAGGTTCAAGAAGGACAGCTGTCTAAGCATTAGCCCGTGGAGTCATGAGCTGACCTTGTCACTCTACTTCCTTCGCTGCGTCAGAGGGCAGCACAGATTTTGCAGTCTGTGCCCAGCGTTCGTGCCACACCCAACGACATCTTTTTGCTGTAGTCGGCCTTCGTGTTGTACGTGCATCTTCCCTGCCTTGGAAGAAACTGCAGGACCTGGACCCAACGACCTCAAGGCACAGGCCGGAAGGAATCAGAAATCGGATTCATGATGCAGGCTGTGCACGTGTCCCGTTCCGAAAGGTCAAGCTGAGCCCGATTGCTGGTGGCTCTATCCTCACCGACACTTGGCAAAGCTTATTGCATTTTGGAAGGTGCAGGTGAGACTAATTGAGCCGCCGCCAGTTCTGGTTTTGTCACATTCCACTCTGTCATGAGCTGCTGCTTTGCTCATGAGGCTTTCACTCTCAACGAGCCCATCGAAAGCCCGAATCTTGCAAGTAGGATTTGGCAGTCAGTTGCACAGCAAATCGCTGAGGCCCCGACCCAACTGTATTGGAGAGGAAGTTGAAGGTGCCGACTGTGTTGCTTCCATGCCTGTTGCCTTTGCAGCCCTGTCCAACTCTTGATCAGGTGCCAGCGCTGGCATCAAACATGAAAGCAGCCACCAGCGGGGCTGCGCTTCCGTCATATGCTTTGTCAGGCTGCTGTTTGCATGCTGATGTTATCCGGAAGCAAAACAGCAGTTGCTATAGCGCAAGTTGCCCAGGGCCGCTGCTCGTTGGCGAACCGCATGTGGGCACCAAGGCAGGTGGTAGGTTGTCAGCAAATGGTCTTGTGTTTTCCCACAAGAGGACCACCCGCTGAAAGCCCCGCAGCAGCAGCCTAGCTTCTTCTCCCAGTGGTGGCCGCTGCTAGCGGTGTTGGGGATTGTCGCGCCTGGGCTTCAAGACGCAAGTCTGGCTCTAAATCACAGTTTCTAGGAAACTTGACAGCTACAACTGACTCGGAGTTTAGTGGCATTCCGACGTGGAAAAGTCGACCTGGTCATAAGCCATCTACAACAATGGCACTTGGGATCAACAGGGACTCTACGCAGCAGCTGGCAAACAGCCAAAAGAATCCTTTTCGAAAGTGTGGTGTTCCGAAGACTTCTCGCAGTCCACAACACTTGATAAGACTCCTTCCATCTCGTGCCCTCGAGGCGTGCATTGGTGGAGGTCCGCGCCTTGAAAAGTTGTTGCCTTCTTTAGAGGGCTGTGGATGAGACACGAAGTGCCATGTGCCAAGCGTTCACTGACAAGCGCAAACCTTGCAGATGACGCGATTCAATCAGGGTTTGTTTCGTGTGCATGCTTGGATATGCGTGGGAAGGTATCTATATCCACAGACTCTCCGAGATGCAGTCGAGAGACGACAAACGTGTGGTCCTCGGTGGAAGAAGAGCAGTCCATGACAGCAGCCTCCAAAATCATTCAACTAGTTTTTGCTATTTTGGTCAAACATTAGCTCGAGGGGCAGGACTTCGTGCGGCTGGCAGAGGAATCTCTGCGCAAGACTCGGACATGTCGATGTCCCTGAAGGACCGCATGCACACTGCTAGTTGAAAGTTGCTGCTTTCACATGGCCTCAGTTCACAATCATTTGCTCACCACCGGAGGATGTCCAGGACTTCGATTCGCATCTTGGACACGGTTAGGTTAGTAAGGATGAATATTTGTTTGGAGAGGTCAGATGCTCGCGGCCAGGCTATTGTAGGATACACCGGAATATTGATCTGATCCTGTAGAGCCGGAGATTTGCAAAGCGCCGCGACCATCTGGAAGCAATTCAACGACCTCAGGGGCTACGACGCATCGCCTGGCTCTGGAAACGGATATCAGCACACGCCACCATACCAGCCCACCTACCAGCCGAGCTCTTCCTCCTACACAGGCCTACAGTCTTGAAAGGTCTTGGTTTGCATCGATTGGCATTGTTGAGGGATGTTGGCGCAGCTTGCTTTGCAGCTGAGCATTGCTTGCATTGCGTGAACTCGGGCTCAAATGCCCTCCGTTCGGCTTCGTTCGCCTTTGCATTGGAGTATGTATGCATCTCAGCTGCCCTGCAGGTCCATCTTCGCAGCAACCTATCTGCATTTGTGCCGAACAAGCCGTAGGCTGAAATGCGCGTGCTGCTGGCTTTGGAAGCTTCAGCCCAGGAGTTACCAGCCACGACAGCAGAACAGCTATCAAGGCCAGGGCGGCCAGGGAAGGAAAGGGGTTCTAGAGCTTTGAGATCGGCATTCTCTTTCATGAAAAGTTTCTGGAGAGGCTACACTCCACAGTGACTCGGCAACGCAACTAGGCAAGCTGTCCACACTTATGTGCATGAAGCACTTGACAGTGTGTGACCCCAGGCCATACCAGCCAAGATATGTATCTTGGCAAGATCTCATTTTAACACTGTGCTGGCACTGCGCGTTGGATATTTAATTTAAGCTCATGCATGAGATCCGGCGCCAGTAGCATGATGGCTTGTTGTTGTGCATGCTCTGCGAGGGCTAAATTGTACCCAGCTGCCAGCTGCGAGACACGTGAACTCCTCAGTTGCATCCTGCTCACGCCAGATGTTCTGCTTGCACAGCTCTGGAATTTGGTACATTGCGTGGAGCGTCACGAGATTCAGCAGGATGTGAGCATGCACAGCTTTTTGCACAACATGGTGCAAAATGGGATGAGGCTGATGAGCGATAACCTGAAGTTGGAGCGCCGAGGGCGGCCTCGAAAGTGCATTCAGAAACAAGGGCTGCCCATGGAGACCTGTGGCAAAGATCCAGCTAACCAGAAGATTTCGCTAGGAAAAGATTGTTTGCATCTTTGCCAGTTGAGGGCCTCCACAAACAGATGCTGCTCCCTGACAATGACCTCTGCTGTACCATAGGTTGTTGCACCCTTTTAAGAATCTGCAGAGCGGGCCCTTTATGTGGGTCCTGGAGTGAGATCACTTCAGCGCCCCATTTTCTGGGACCACATCACAGTAACGACATGTAATGACCTCAAACTTTGAGTCCTTTAGTTACGCGGTGAATATAGGTGTCCTCCAATGCTTTTGCTGCTTGCTTGGCAAGCTTTCTGATGTTAGAATAGCTACGCATACTAGGCAGAAAAGCAAGCTTGGCCTCAACTTTTTGCAGATTGGGCAGGGCCGAGGGCCCTGCCCCTTCACGCATCTCCATTCGGAGTCATTCGGCTCTACTGGCCTGCTCTAAGAGCATCGGTTATCGCCTCCCCGGAGAGGCTGCAGCCAATGAACACTTCCGAGCTCGGAGGAAAGAGATTGTTTGTCCAGCGTTGCAGACATGTTTCGTTGATGCGTTTTTAAGCCGACATTGCTGAGGCTTGATGCTTTAAGTATCCTCCAACATGATTGTAGCATCTCGTAGCTGCAGCTTGGGAGGCTGTGGGCATATCAGATGATGATTCCGAGGTGGAGGCTGCTAACAGCGTATTGTGTCAGGTGCGCTCCCCATGCTACTTGTACAGCCATAGGTGCTGGCTGCAGCGGCGATCTCCAAGCAAGACCTCCAGGCAAAGGATGTTTTCTATCCACGCCCTGGGAAGTGTGGCTGCCTGAAATCTGAAGCTACTGACACGGTTCAGCGACAAGCCCAGGCCGGGGTTGTAGCAAGAAGCGCACACAAGCATGCCGAGCTTCTCGGATACAGGGATGGTCCTACAAGGGTTCGGAGGCACACTGGATTGATGGGTTTAAGAAAGGTGCCGGCTCCCGTGTCCCGTGTCCCGAGATAATTCGAAGGATCCGGGGCCAAGAATTGTGGGTTTATGTTTTTCTCTGGGAGTGTGTCAAGCACAAGACAACAACTGAAGACCTAGCGCGGATATTCCAAGATATACTGCTGCACTGCATGCCAGGCATGTGGTTCTGATTCAGCGCAACGGAGCCTGGGAAAGGAGTTCCCACACCGTCATGGACGGTGGCGGCCAGGTTCCAAGTGACTTCAGAGATTTTTGGAGGACCCTCCGTGCAGACGCTGGAAGTCAAGAGCGAGGCGGCTGCTTGCTGGGGGGGGCGTTGACTTGGCTTGCTGATGGCACTTCAGGCCAGTTTGACTTGCCTGTACCATGCAAAGTGCAATCCGTTAGCGAACCACAACGTGTTTGCTCCAGGAAGCTGTCTTCCTCAAATCAACCACGTTCTCCAAGCGGCAGACCTAGAGTCCAGTCGATTCTGATTGGGTGCCTATGAAGTCCTGATCGGCAAGTGAAGGTCCTGTGGCTTCCTGGAATGCGTGTGGAGCGCAGGAGGACTTGGTCCTAGTCCCTGTTGCTACATGCCGACCTCATTTAGGCAATTTTGCTATAGAGGGGCGACGGCAAACCTAGGAGTTGGAGGAGACGAGTGGTTCCCCAAGGCCAGCTGCCAGATGTTTCACGACAGGGCGTGGGAATTTGCACGTTTTTTAGGCTTGCGATTTGCTTGGCATTACAAAAAATATTTTCACCACTAACGCGAGACCACCTCGGCAAAGGTGTGGGTGAGAGCACAGAGCAGGCATCGGCTCCCTCGCCCGCCCCCTGCCCACCGCCCAAAGTCCGTTTTTTTTTGGCCTGGAGCTTAGGGGGAACGCCCCCCGCCAACGAGTCAACTGTGCGGAACCCTGACAACCGCACGGACACCCCCTCACCCCCCCCTAGAAACCTGAAAAAACCGAGCCGATTGGACACTCTCGGGGTGGGGGGTGGGTTAACTTACTCTTCCAACGGCCCTGGATCTAAACTCCCAGGCCTCCGGCCTCGGCGGATTGTGTAATGACAACCTGCAGCTGCAAGCGGGGAAGAAGTAATCAGACCAGATGTGGATGCAAGGAGGCTGGCATCAGCAGCGACGGCTCGCTCGCGGATGTTCTTTAGTGAGCTCCTCAGTCTCCACGCATCTCCACGCCTCGAGCTGCGAGGCCCCTTCAGCACTTCGCAGTGCCGAGGTCCTGCGCCCATGCGGCGGCCAAGCGAGCCAACAGATCAGGACCACGAGTGCTTGTGCACTCCCTCGGCACTTCGCACAAGTTGACTGACAAATTCTACTTGGCTGTAGCATTTTTGTTCTGTCAAAGATCCTTTCTGCTTCAGCCTGTCTACCACAGACCATGGTACTAGCACAGACCATGCAGACGATCACCGACCGGAAGGGGGCACTGGCAATCGGCCTGGCGGGTGCTGGTGCATCCCTTCTGGCCATCAGGCTCTTGCTCAGGTCCCGGGTGGACCGCTTTCGCGAGGTGCCAGGCTCATGGCTGCTTGGCGTGCTTCCTGAACTGGGTCCAGGAGGCCGGTCGCCCCAAGGCTTGCGTACAAGGGCAGTTTATCCGATCTTCTTGCTTCTGATTGTAAACACGTGGCAAGCTGAATTTTGATTTGTGAATTCTTTTGCTTCTATGCCTGGCCCGGCCCATCCCAAATCGGTGGTATAAATCTCTCAACAAAGTACGACTTATGCTTCACTTGCTCCAGGAAAGCTCATCACGCAGAAGATTGAGGAGTGGGGCTGGGCTGATTGCCCTTTACTACCCCGTTCACTGGGCAGTGGGTTTATGGGTTTTGGCGGTTCAAAGGGGTGTCCTCAGGAGGCACATTCGGACTTACAGTTGCTACTGGCAGCTAGAGCTAAGAGCAGGTCAACATCACCTTGCTTCAGGAGTGGGCCGACGCCTACGGCGAGGAGGGCGTGTTTGAGATGAATGTGGCAGGTTCTCGGACTGTTGTTTGCTGCAGCTGGGAGCAAGCCCAGCCTATTTTGGCTCGACGCCCGCACAAAATGCCAAAAAACTGGCGGTTGCAGAACGTGGTGGACATCATTGCCGGCAGCTTCTTCTCAGAGGGAGAGCGCTGGAAGCGCGAGAGGCGGGTTCTCTCCCCAGCATTCAGCCGCAAAAACGTGGAGAGTTATGTCCCAGCTGTGGAGCAAGTCACGCAGCAACTTCTCAGAGAAATTGGCCGAGATGTCTCCGCAAAGGGAGCGGCAAACTTTTCAGAGCTTCTCCCGCTGTACACCGCAGACGTGATTTGCAAGACAGCGCTGGGCCAGGAGCTGAAGATGCTGGAGAAGCGGACCTCTGACATCCTCAATGATGTGAAGGCCATGTTCAGCGCGCTCCAAACTCGCCTGTTCTCTCCGTTACCGTACTGGAAGATTCCAGGCCTAGTCCGGTTCTTCGACCATGGTGTAGAGGTCTCTCAGCGCTTCTACAAGCGGTCTGAGCAGATCATGCAGAATGCCAGCAGCGGTGGCCGGAGTATCGTTGAGAAGCTCAGGGAAATGGATGGCGACAAATTCAGCCACGCAGAACTGATGGACAACCTAACAGTCTTATTTCTTGCGGGCACAGACACAACCAGCCTAGCTTTGTGCTGGTCCTTCTACTACTTGTCCCAGCATCTGGAGCTTCAAGCCGCTGTGGCTGATGAGGTCAAGTTGTTGCCGGACGAGGAGCTGTCCTTGGCTCAGGTTGAGTCGCTTCCCACGGTGCAGGCGGTGTGGCTGGAGACGCTCCGGCTTCACGGTCCGGCGTCGACCCTCGAGCTTCAGTCCACCGAGGAGATCACGCTGGCAGGCCGAAAGCTACCGGTGGGAACAGAATTCTTCATTGCCATCAGGAACATTCTTAAGAACGACCCTGAAGTCAAGAAGAAGCTTGGAAACGACCTGCACGGCTTCCGGCCTTCTCGCTGGCTGGGGCCGGAGGGCATTGTGAAGCATCCGCCCTTTGATACCCTGGCATTCGGCTACGGTCCCCGCATCTGCCTTGGCATGCGGTTGGCAGAGTACGAGGGCTTACTCGTCATTGCGAAGGTGGTTCAGAAGTTTGTGCTTGAGAAGTGGGACAGGCCACCGCTGGAGGAGACCACAAGCTTCGTCAGCAATGAGCCCGCGACCCCAGTGTCCATCCAGATCCGTCCACGGACCTGGTAAACTCCACCAGGCGTGGATTGCTTCCTGTTGTGTGAGCCATGTAGGCAAGAGGTGGGGTGGACACAGCCAAGTGCCAGTCCGCAAAGACTTCCCCCTGTTGCCAGGCGTGTACATATTCTGAGTTTACGTTTCCTCTGTACATGTAGAGGATTAACTGAGGGTACGGGGTGTGCAGACATTGTGCAGTGACAGCTAGTTTTAGTGTGCCAACGGATTGTTGGCCACACCCGGCTGTTCGGCGACATCCTGCGACTGCTAACCATTGAAGCTTTTTTTCTTGGACTGTTGACCTCCAATCATACATATTCAGTCATATTCATACATTATCTCATTACGTGGACAGGCAGCAGAGCAGACAGATTGTCGGTCACCTGTCTGTTGCATCTGTTGGGCAGCAGGGCAAGTCCAGACGGATTGTTGGTCCTTTCCCTGCAATGTATTTGTGCTGTGTTTCGCGAGACTGACGCAGACGTGGCCATTCAACATATTTGTGCTGGACATGATAATGTGCCTGGCTGGCTGGACGCCGCAATGTTGTTGTCACTATCCTGCAAGCTAGGAGCTGGCAACCCCTCCCAGGCCAGCAAGGCGAAGCAGCTTGGTGTCTCCTTTGCATGTGCAATCACTGAAAAAAGCCTGGTAGAGGCAAGATATTCCTCGCTCGCGCATGTTCTTCAGCACGCGCCCTGAATGGATTTCCTTGGATGCTGCCTGGCGAATGCCAGCCTGAAGGGATTTGTGTCTCAGGTCCCGTGCCAATGTGCCGAGTGCAAAGGTCACCATGCCAGGCTCGCTGTGTTGACATGTTGCTGGCAGGATGCTTGCTTTGCATTCATTCCAGCCAGTGTTCGAGTGTGAATTGATCTCTCGAGGAATCGACATCCGACGCCTGCAAGAATTCAGAAAGGCCGAGAGAGAGCCTGGGCAAGTTAAGCTTCTAGTAGTCTCGATCGAGATCGATTTTCACGAGCAAGTTCAGATTGGTATGCATAAGCTGAGAAGGGCTTTTCCTGCTTGAAGACGGGTCCACTATGGGCCTACCGCATATGCCTGTTGACAGGGACACGGTTTCGCCGTGCAAGAGCTCTCCGATGGCCTGCATCAGCCAGTCTACTCAGCCTGTTGAGTTGTGGCTGACATATGCAGTCGCTGTATTTGGCGGCGACCAGTATTGTATAGTGCACCAGAAGACACTGGAGCTTCTTGCGCCTGGTCGCACATTGTGATTGGGGAAACAGAAAAGACAAAGGGATCCAAGATGTAAGGTGAACGTGAGTGCGTGAGTGAGCGCGCTTGAAGGGACATTTAGGAGAATGGCGGGTGACATACACTTTGCATTGAGTCTTCCAGGCAGCAAGTGCAAACTGCACGTCAATCTGTTACCCCAAGCCTGAGCAAAGCGCGGCTAACATGACAGTCAGACGTTGGCGATCAAGTACGAGTTCTGGAGGCTCTAGTCCAGGTGCTTCGGAGCGAGGTGCACAAGCTGAGTCCTCAGAGCTTGAAGTGCGATCTAATGCAATGGCAATCACGTGTGACCCTGAGCCTGCCTGCAAGCAGAGTGCAAGGCCACTGAGCTGGAGGAGGAGACGAGGTCTGTTCCCAAAGCTTTTTTAGTTTTTTAATCTTGTAGGCAGGTAACACGTAAAGACCCAGAAGGTTGACGCAGCTCTCCTCGAAGATTTGCCAGACTGCATTTGGCCGGCTGCTTGGGCGATCTTCGGGCGTGTGATTTGAAATTCAATCTCTGAGAGCAGGCAATAGTCGTCGGCACTTGCCGCCTGCAGCGCAGAAGCGCAGGCAAAATGAGATGGTTGTAATAAGGATGACATTTGCTGTGCAGCCGAATTCATTTCCCAATTTTTTGCAGGCATTCTGGGGTCCCTTCATGTGAAAGCTCTTCGCAGCAGGCCAAAAATGTGATGAGAATGAGGGTCGTTGACTGCTTGCAGCCTTTATCCTACCAGGTTCCACTTCTACGCAAACCAGTGAAGAGCACTTTTGCCAAGGCTTGCTAGCTCGTTCAGTCTGTGCAGGTTTTACAGGCTTGTTGCAGGCTGGGGAGGTCTGATGTTAAGGGTCTTGCGGAGGAATATGGCGAGAGTCAGGGTTGTTCCCTGGAGCCTCATGCGGGAACATGCAGGAGAGATGATGCTTGCGGAACTTAACAGCAGTGCTCCAAGCGATTCATGCTCAACCCCAGAAGCAAAGGCCTGGAGCAGATGGCATGCGAACCAAAACATAAAAAAGATCCGTGCACAAGACGGTGGTTTTCCCAGAGCTTTCAACTCATAGGCGATCGGGGCGAAGATGAGCCAGAAGTCCTCCGGAGTGCCGCAGGCCGCGATCTGCGAAGCGTAGGTAGTCTGACATGACTACAGCTTTGTCGCGTCGAAGCCTTGACTCCCGAATATTCAACCCCCTTTTTTGTAGTCTTCTCCAGAACCAAGAAGCATCATAACACTGATCATTTGAAAACGGTAGCAACTACACCCATCTTGGCCTTGTCTGCCATTCTGCAAGAATCGTTTCAGTCGCTCACATGCCCGACAGCTGGCAACTTTTCATTATGCTGCTGCTCAATAGAAGCATAAAGAAGGGGTGCACAGTGCACACTTTGTTTCGTAATCAATGATCGAGTGTTCGATTGAGGTATGGCGAAAGCGGCAACGGACGGATCGCAAACCCGAGGCAGAAGTGGCCTGGAGCAGCAACATTCACGTCATTGTGCCCTGCTCCATTGAAAGGACCAGCAGTCTTCTACAGCTTGCCTCGCCCATGCTGATCTGGCTATCGTTGCAGATTAGTGGAGACTTGTTCAATGCTGCGCTGCCATTTGTATCAGCACGCCGGATGTATGTGAATATGGCAGGAAACAGAATGTGTGCGACAAACCTCCAAGCTCTTGACGCAGCGTCTGATTTCTGCGGGGGAGGATGCCACTGGGGAAACGCCTCCAGTGACTTTGCAGCATCTTGGTCGCCAGCTGACCGCACCCGTTGATGACCAGATGTTTCAAGGCGGAACTGCGGATTCCATCAGTTCTTCACACTGAGGGGCACGAGAAGGCGCTGCGGACCTTTCAGCCTTGCAGTGTGAAGAGTTGGTTTGTTAAACCTCCAGCTGGAGACTCCGCGCCTAGTGTTGGCATGTGTTGGCCTGGAAGGCCTGCCCCGAGGCACCTGTGTCTGCAGGCTGGGCGAGCACTGCTTCGCAGACCCAACGATCGATGATTTGAATAACGTGCAAATCCTTCCTCGGTGTGGAAGTACGTTCCTGACGCAAGCATGCAAGGCCTGGATAGCGACGACGAGCTACCTTTGAGCAAGATTGTCAATGAAGAAGATCTTCCCGTCTCGCGCTTGATGCCGCAGCTTGCTTGCGATTTGCTTCGTTTGCACGCTTGGGATCTTTTCAACGCTTCCAAAGAAGGAGGCTGTTCAATCTGCTAAGGAGTGCCTTGTCCTGGCTGGGGCCACGGCTGCCGTAGGCTTTGCTTCTTTCCAGGACTCGTGTTGGGCAGGGCTCGCCTGCTAGCATTCCTCTGACAGCGCGCTGTAGTAGCACAAATGGTCTCATCTCATGGGGTACACCCCTACTCACGACAGAAAGAGCTGTAGAATCGCTGATTCATCAAGGGAAGCAACAAGACGCGACGCAAGGAGGAAACAAAGGAAATAAAGGTAGTGAGCACAGCTTTTTCTTCCTCGAGCTCACGTAGAAGAAGACATTTAAACGCTAGGGCGAGTGCGGATCGAAGACAGCATGGATTCTAATGTGTTATGTAGGCAGTGGATGATGAGCGGTTGGAGCTTCAATGTCAAGTCCCTACAGCGCCACGCGGAGGTCAGAAGCTTTCAATCTGCTGAGGCGCTTGTCTCGCATGGCAAGTTTGCAAACAGGCAAAGGCAGCAGTCGCGCAGCAGTTCTGTAGGGAAAAACTCCTTTTGCGCCCCAGATGAGTCAGGGGGGGTGTGGGGCGGGGTGGGCGGGGGGGTGGTAAGGGTTGTGGGGCGCAGGCAAGACATCCGAAATGGCCGTCGTGGGAGAGTGGAGTCAGGGGTGGAAGACTACAGTCCTTAGATGCAAAACTCTAGTCCTCCCGCGCACCTCTCCGCACATAAGAGCAATTGGGATGTTCTGCGAGTCAATCCAATAAGTTAGTTTTGCACTCAAAGATGACATGCTGAGGTCCGCTCTACTGCGGCAGCCCCTCGATAGCGCGCAGTTCCCCATCCGAGTCTACGAAGCTGCAATGGAGGAGCACCTAACATGTAGGGAAAATGTACGACACTGCAGCAAGAACAGGTGAGATATTATTGACAGCACGATTTCAGAATGACTTGTGCTGAAAGGTAAAAAGGTAGAAGGTTGAACTGGCTTGAACAGATGCAGCACGCTGCAGCACTGAGCGCCGGCTCGGCACACCACGAGACACTATACTGCAATGAGGAGGAGGATGGACACTCTGATGACCCATGGTCCTCTTGCTCCGAGTCTGTGGCCAAGGATGGTATGCTGGCTCCTTGTTTGGTGCCGCTGTTGCATCAGGATACACTTGTTCCTTATTCCCGCAGCCCAGTGCAGTCTAATCCGGCCAGAGAAAATTTTCAAGACCCAGTGCCTGAGGAGTTTTCAGTGGAGCCCTTCGTGCAATCACATTCAATGTTTGGCTGATCGGCAGCTTGTTTTGCTGCAGAAGATAGTGCCAGAACATGCTATGCAGAAATCCACTTGAGGCCAGAAGATGACGATCTTATCGGGGGGGTGGAGGCCTTTCGTCTGTTCAACGTCGAGAAGCATGCTGTTCATGCTGCGTGACCATGTTCGACCGTGCATTTACCTGTTTGTGGAGAGATGCTGGAGGCCGTGACAGAGCTTGTCTGGTGCCGATCCTCCTACTCAAGGCCTGGTGCCAATTAAAAGTCCAAAAAGCACCTGGTAACGCTTACAAGAAACGATGTGCCCATGTCCTCGTGATGTGCGTTAGCTAAGGCTTCTGGCCTCGCGGGACTTGGTGTGAGGACCCAAAACGCGGCATGCAAGAATTCGTGTTTGCAGCGCTCACTTGCAGACACCGCAGGGGCTGCGTTCCCAGCTGCTTACCAGGCCGTAGCCATGAAGTACCGAGGAGCTTTACATTCAGAATGTGATAAGACCCCAAAATGCAGCCGTTTGGATCCGTAGGTGCTAGGCCAGGCGGGTATCTGGAAGAAGTGTTGTTGGGAATTGAAGTCGCATGGCGCGCTCGGCCATCTCTTCATATGGTGTCCTTGAAAAGCATACCTACAAGTGCGTGGGGCTCCAGCCATCTAAGCTGGATGGTGCCCTGCAGAGCCTTTTTGATTCAAACAGTTGGACCTGCTTGGCGAGGCCAGGCCAGGTCTTTAGTGTCACAGCAGATGAAGTGCACTGCTGTGCGGGGAGAGGCTCGATCTTCACCAGCATCACAGAATATCATAGACAAACTTCTTGGAAGCTGTCCTAGCCGGCAGAGATCGGCAGAGCAGAGATGCTGCGTGGCTGGAGGCTTCTCGGGGCCTACACAGGGGATTGGTAGGAGAGCAGCGCGAGTGGCTGCGGTAAAAGCGAGCTCAGCTGTTTGCAGATCCACTGGCATTCGAAGTCCAATTCCAGCACACTTGTGACTTCTTGGCAGACTGTTGGCTGAGGCAGTCATTGCTCCCATGGTCCAACGCGAAAGTAAACATGAATCAAAGCTACGAATACTGACAAAAGCATATGCCATTGCTCATCCTGTCTTACCCATCTTTTTTCTGAACTGGCAGCTTGCCATTTTCCTGATAATGTCTTCTGCGGGCGATCTTGAAGCCGTGGATGTGCAAGCCGAGACAGCAGATGCTGGCGAGGCACATGGAACGGGACCGGTAATATAAACCGCAGGTTTTGGGGCCCATGAACTGGTTACTTGTGAAGTGGTGCTGGACTATTTTTCCATTTGGCGTGGTTGAAGGCTGAAGAGCAAGAAGGTCCGGCAGGGTACTGGACATTGCTTCAGAGAGTTGGTCCACTATGCAGGTGACAGCTCGGCGCTCGGGCTCCTTTCCGCCGGCTTGGCTGCTCGGGAAACTTCGGGACCCACAAGGGTGGCAGCGCTGTTTAGCTTGCCTAGGCTACTTGCAAAGTCAGGGAGCTCAACTACATTGAGTGAGACAGAAGAAACGGAAGATACGCACACTTCATGTAATGAAGTTGGTTCTTCGCTCTTGAGTGCCTTGATGGTGAGGATGCTGCCGGAGAAAGAACAAGCAGAAGCCTAGGCTGGGTGAGCCCATATCAGCTTTGGGGTCATTAACCTGTTTATGACAATTGCATTTTGGGTCAAACCAAGCTAACCTTGCTGATGTTTGTGGGTTGCTTTTTCATGTGCTTCCATGGCGAGGTGCTAAAGCGACAGTCGGCTCCCAGCACTCGGACCACATCTTCAGGAGATGGAAGTCAAAGATGCGAATGAGTGCAGAGGCCCACTTTGAACCACCCACAATGCTTGGCACTCCACCTTCCATGCCGGCATGTGGCCCTCAGCCTTACATCCAGCATTCGGAAGAGTAATGGCATCAAGTCTCTTGAGGCGGATGCTTTTACTGCAGCCCTTTCACATGACGGAGACTGGGCATGCTAATTCCAAGTGTGGCAGGCCTTGGACTGCCTTGACAAGGATGTTGGCTGCGACCTTGTGCGCAGCCAGTCCTCAGAGAGGCAGCTCCACCTGACGATCATAAACTTGGCCTTCTGTTGGCTCCCACACCTCCATTTGGCAGACTTGTCTTCTCCGGTGAATGTATTTGTCTTTGGCTTGACTTGCATGCTGGTTGTCAGTTGCTATGTAGAGGAAGCAGTTGTCAGAAGACAAGGTCTCAAAAGGTCTGGGTCATGAAGTTTGCAATGTCTTGGTTAGTTGATAGTTCTTTTTCGTGTGGTGCCTGGTGCGAAGGGGGCGGGTGGGTCCACCACCACCCCCCCC